GTTGTTAGCCGTGGGTTGAAAGCGTTGGGGACGTGGGTTGGTGCTGGAGACACTGGTGGTGGCCATGGGGTGCCACCACTGGGGACATGGGTTGGTGCTGGGGACACTGGTGGTGGTCGTGGGGTGTCAGTTTTGGGGACATGGGTTGGTGCTGGGGACACAGATGGTGGCCGTGGGGTGTCAGTTTTGGGGACATGGGTTGTGCTGGGGACACAGATGGTGGCCACGGGGTACCAGTGTTGGGGACGTGGGTCGGTGCCAGTGCGGGGACCAGGAGAGTGGCCTCGGGACGTGCCCCGGGGACCCGGCTGGTGGCCGGGGGTGCCGTGGCCGCGTGGCTCTGCCCCGGCGCGAGGCCATGGAGGGTGGCGGTGGCCGGGGGCCGTTTCCTGCCGCTAATCACGGCTAATTGGCTTTGCCCTGCCCTGGGCCAGGGAGCCCACGGAGGCGGGGAGGCGCGGGGGCCACGTCGGGGCGTAAGAGGATTTCCCTGCCTCCTTCTTAAGGCTTGGCCGCCCTGGGGTCCCGCTCGCTGCCCGCCTGCCCGCCTGCCTGCCCACCCGGCCCCGGCCCCATGCCACGCACCCGGGGGGACAAGGGGGCCCCCAAGGACACGGAGACCCCGGGCAAGGGGAAAGGGGGGGAGGTGGGCGAGAAAACCCCCAAAGCCCCCGAGGAGGGTGGCTCTCCGGTCACCAAGAGCCCTGGCTCCGAGTCCCGGCACAGTGGCCACGGGCAGAAGAACAGCAAGAAGGTCACCGGGGACCCCCACGCCACGGCCACCAAGACCTACTACCCCTTCCTCAACACCGTCTTTGGCAAGGTGGGGGTAGCCAGGCAGGGGACGGTGGCACTGGGAATGGAGGGGACATGGGGACGAGGTTGAGGATGCTCTGGGACCCTGGGGATGGAGGGGACATGGAGCATTGGGGATGGGGACAGGGACAATCCAGGACTTTGGGGATGGAGGGGACATGGGGACAGTGAAGATGGGGTTGGGGATGCTCTGGGACCCTGGGGATGGAGGGGACATGGGGCATCGGGGACGGGGTCAGGGACACTCTAAGACTATGGAGATGGAGGGGACATGGGGGCAGTGGGGATGGCGCTGGGGACATTCTGGGATGCTGGGGATGGAGGGGACACTCTGGGCCCCTGGGAATGGAGGGGACACCCATGGGGCCAGCCTGGGAAGGGGGAGCCGAGCCGGCAGTCCTCCACGGGGGGACACGTCCTGCTCCCCCACCTCCAGGACTACAGATCACCCTTGGCAGCACCCATGGGTGCTGGGCAAATCCCATTCGGAGCCTGGGGGTCCCGGGCTGGGGCAGCCCAGGGTGGGTGGTGGGAGAGGGGACCTGGGGGCCAGGGCAGGGCAGGGCTTTGCCTCCAATCCCTCTAATCCCTCCCGTCGGAGTTAATTTTGGCCCACGCTTAACGAAGGTGACACCGTGGTTTGCTGGGGGCGGGGGGGAGTTGGGGCTGAGCCGGGTCTGATTCTGTCCCCACCCTGCGTGCGCCCGGCCCAGGAGCGGGAGCTGTCACCAGAGGAGCTGGACGGTGAGCGGGGGGGACCCAGGGGGCTGGGGTGGGCTGTGGGGACGGGGAACGTGTGCCATGGAGGGCTCTGCCGTGGGGCGCGGTGCCACGGGGACCTGTGCCATGGAGGGCTCTGCCGTGGGGCGCGGTGCTGTGGGGACCCGTGCCATGGAGGGCTCTGCCGTGGGGTGCAGTGCCATGGGGACCCGTGCCATGGAGGGCTCTGCTGTGGGACACGGTGCTGTGGGGACGTGTGCCATGAAGGGCTCTGCCGTGGGACACGGTGCCACGGGACCACATGCCACGGCGCCGCATCCAGGGAGGGAGCTGCCCCGGGCTGGCACGGTGCCTGGGAGCCCCCCACGCCTGACGGGGTCCACGTGCCCGCGCGTGCCCGCGTGTGTGGGCAGAGCTGCTGGACGCCTTCAAGGAATTCGACACGGACCAGGACGGGTACATCAGCTACAAGGACCTGGGCGCCTGCATGCGCACGCTGGGGTACATGCCCACCGAGATGGAGCTCATCGAGATCTCCCAGCACATCAAGATGAGGAGTGAGCGTGGGACCGGCCACCGTGGGGCTGGGGTGGGGGCCTGGGGCGTGGGGGGCTGAGGTTGTCCCCTTCCCGCATGCAGTGGGCGGCCGCGTGGACTTCGAGGACTTTGTGCAGATGATGGGGCCGAAGCTGCGGGAGGAGACGGCCCACATGGTGGGCGTGAGGGAGCTCAAGATCGCCTTCCGTGAGGTATGGCCACCGCCACGGGGGGGGACCGCAGCGATGGGGGTGACCACAGGCATGGAGGGGACGGCGACCACGGGAGGACCACGGTGGGCACAATGACCACAAGGGTGATGACAGGCATGGAGGGGACAGCAATGATGGGAGAACCATGGGGAGACCATGACCACAGGGGAGCAATGACCATGGGGGTGACCACAGGCATGGAGGGGACGGCGACCATGGGAAGACCAGGGGGTGACCATGACCATGGGGGGATGGTGACCATGGGGGTGACCACAGGGGTGGCCACAAGCATGGAGGGGACAGTGACCATGGGAAGACCATGGGGTGACCATGACCACGACCACGGGGAAATGGTGACCATGGGGGTAACCACAGCCACAGAGGGGATGGTGACCACGGGAAGACCATGACCATGGGGTGACAGTGGCCATGGGGGTGACCACAGGCATGGAGGGAACAGTGACCATGGGAAGACCATGGGGGGATGGTGACCATGGGGGTGACCACAGGCAGGGAGGGGATGGTGACCACGGGAAGACCAAGAGGTGACCATGGCCCCCGGCGGCGGGGCCGGAGGGGAGGGTGACCCCCAACCTGTGGGCGCCGCAGTTCGACGTGAACGGGGACGGGGAGATCAGCAGCGCGGAGATGCGGGAGGCCATCGCGGCGCTGCTGGGGGAGCAGCTGAAGGCGCAGGAGGTGGACGAGATCCTGCAGGACGTCGACCTCAACGGCGACGGGCGCGTGGACTTCGACGGTGAGGGGGTACCCCCTTCCCCGCGGCCGCCCCACGGCACGCGGCCGAGGGCTGCGAAGGGTGGCTCGGCCCCGGGTCCCCTGACGCCCTCCTCCCTCGCCCTGCAGAGTTCGTTATGATGCTGTCATCCCGGTAATGAAGCCTGGGGTGGGGCAGGAGGGGCCGCCCCAACCCGATCCT